CACAGCTAAATACTGAGTCAAGCCACAGAACCTGTGAGTGAGTTCAGGGAGCCTCTGAAGTGAAGCCTGTCTTAGAGCACAGGCATTTTGTATAGGAGACCAGAGCTAAGTCCTGAGCACAACCAAGGCTGAGGTTATTTATCAACCTCCTCAGGATTCTCAGCCAGAAGGGCCACACAGAGCATTCAGTTACCTACCAGAAGCTCAAAGCAAAAAACCACTCCATATAACTTGTGTTTGCACAAGCTGGCTGGCCTTTGGAAGCTCCAGAGCATCTCTCAAAGCTCAGCAAAGTAAACATTGCATCCTGCTGGCAAGGCAAGCTGCAGGCCTCTGCTCTAGGGAGACCTTATGAGAATCAGGGCAGCTCCCTCCAAGCAGAGGGCTCTGCTGGTGGCATCAGCGGGTGAGCACGGGAGGTGACGGGGACACTCCTGTGCAGAGGAGCTGGTGCCTAACCAGGAGAAACAGGGAATCGCCTGGCCTGGGCTTGGGGACTGTCGAGGCCCAGAATTCTGCTGCTCACCGGCCGGTGTAGGGAGGGCGGCGAGAAACAAAACAAAAAACAGGGACAATATCCCAAAGAATAACCAAATAAAAGCCTACCTGACCCATCACATCTTCATCGTAGGACAGCGTTAAGCCCAAGTCACTGATATCGCCATCGTAACGCTGGCAGAACAACACAAAAAAAAGCAGGTCAGTATTTAGAAGCAGGAGCAGCATCTCCATGTTTTTGTGTTATACTCCCTCTGACTGCTCCCCAGCAGGCACCAGGCAACCAAGCAGAACAAACACGACTTGCTCAAGGTTATGGAGAGACCACCCAGGACTGCGGAACTCCCAGTTCCCAGTTCTGGGTTTACACCTTCAGGCTCCCCTCTCGTCCCCGCTTGCCCCAGTAATGACACAGGACAGCCACCTGCCAGCCTGCTTCAGAATTAGCACGCAGCTCTGCTAACACAATTACTGTCAGAGTACATGGCTCTAAAGATGAGCGGTATCCCAAAGGCATTTGCAAGCCTAGTATTTTTAACAGCAGCCTGCAGAAAGGGATTTGAAGAACAGGAGAAGTAATGCTCAAACCTTAATTGAAGTGAGATTTTTATAGAACTCCGAGTCCAAGGAGGGAAGTTCATCTACAGAGCTGTAGAAGACACTGTGGTGGTGTCCGAGCAGCTGACTCAAGAAGAAGGAAGCAAACGGCACGTCCACGACTATCCCCTAGAGACAGGAGGGCATGTGTGAGCCTCTACATATTCACTGTGTGCAACGTCACCACTACCCGTGAAGCCTTTAGGACAGGCCACGTCTTGTGGAAGAAGCACAGAGATGCAAAACATGTTGGGATCTGCTAGTAAAACCACATCCCCTTAAAATCCAGCAGTTTGTGGAGCAGGTGCAAAAAGACAACCACAAATGGAAACCCCAAGGTTCCTCTAAAGACCTACCTTATGCGGAAAGGATCATTCTGCCTTTCCACCCTCCTTTTAGGCACATACCACTTTAAGTATTATATGGCAATTGGATGCTTATAAGACGTAACACCATTCCAGCTGGTGTCTGCAGCACCAAGGAGCACAAACCAACCATGTCCCAGGTCATGCCTCCAAAATGTTTTATAATGTATCCCTGGACAAGTGCCAGGCTGCACTACTATCAGTATATTTATCCAGGTTGTTTTTTTTCAACCTCTCCTCCTCTGCTAACACCACCCAAGGACATAAATGATACTCTCAGAGCTGCACCTGGATGGTGCTATACTGCCAGGGACAGCATGCAAATGCAGCACTTCTGTCTCACCTCATACACAGCCTTCCCGAGCATCTTCCCCACAAACTCGAAGAGCTGCAGGTAGTTCTCATGGATGTAGGATGTCGGGGATGGATACAGCCTCTCATCACCGCTGGTTGTCTACACAGGCAGAGATAAAGGCAGCATGAAGCAGCACGCAGCTGCTTGGAGCAGGCCATCGAGGTCAGCACGAGCAGCCCTGTGTCATACCTTGAACAAGTTGAGCGCAGGATCAAACACCTTCTTTATTATCTCCTCCAGAAACTCTTTGAAGACTCCATCCTGGTCAATACCAGCCTCATCAACACCCAGATCATTCACAAACTTCACCCGGATCACTCCCTTCATGGCATTCTGGGAAAGCTGCCGTAGCTGTTCGTACCCATCCTATATGGAGCAGGAGAGACACAGGTCAGTCGTTCAGGAGGAGCCAAACATCCATGCAGAACAAACAGCAGAGAAGGATCCAAAGAGATATGCATCAGATCCGCATTTGTCATTGAAATTTATGCCTGAAAAGGCTGCCATTTCCACCAGACAAAACTCCAGGCCTGTAGGAGTATGAATTGTGTGCAAAGGCCCAATATTTTCCTGTAACACCCCTTGCAACAGGAACCAAGGCAGAGGCAGGTTTTCTCGGGATGAGGCTGCCTTCTGAGGCAGGACAGCAGCGTCCTGGAGCCACATGATGTGGGAAATAATCCCAGTGCTACAGCTAAGGCATCACCCCGCAGCTGAGGCTACAACGCGCAGGCAGAGCTGGGCAGCCAAGAGTTACAGCTACAGACCCATCCCGTGGCATTTCTGAATCTGAAAGGGCCAACCTGAGACTCAAAAGGAACAAAAAGCAGGAAGAGAAAGACTGAGGTGCTTATTCAACAGCTGCATTAAAATTTGTCAGTGGCACAAAGGAGTTTTTAGCAGAAGTACATCTCCTGATTGATGCAGTGATATTTTAAGAATATAAATCAAAAGCTGCCTTTTGTTTAAATACTACAGTAAACAGACTGCTGCGTCTTGCAGAAAATGGGGCAATTTGGCTGATTAGATTCTTTGGCAAACAAAAATCTTGTTCTACCCAAAAGGAAACCGCCAGTTCTAAAGAATACAAAGCACTGAAATGATGCAGCCAGACGCAGCAGGTGGCTGAGGACACGGGCACCCGCCACGGCCCCTCGCCCAGGGCACAAACAGTCCATGTGCATCTCTGCCCTTGACCTAGGTCGTGACTGCAAAGCAGGGCCCAGCCTACGAACAGGGGAGAATTTTGCATCAGTAGCGAGATGAAGAGCAGCAATTAAAGCTGGCGTTAGAAAAAAGAAAAAAAAATATATGCATCTTCTGTCAATAAGAGTTCTCGAGCTGAAGAGAGCCCAGCACACTTGTGCAGCTCAATGTAAGAGGAAGAGCCCTTCAGAGCCTGGCAAATCCCTGAGTGCACAGACTCAGATGCTTCTGCATGAGTAAGTGGGCATGTTTACTCTTTCACACTTATCAAACTTTGACATTTAGCTGCAGACATGTCAACATACGCAAGATCATTTGGCAAAGGAACAGTGTGTGCATGTAACACAGATGGATGTCAAATCCTAGGGTCTGATCAAGACATGAAAGGGAAACTCTCCCAGCTTGTCATAGCTTAATGGCAAAGCAACAGCCATCCCTTCAGTCTCTACCAGGAGAAGAGTGTCTTTGGAAGGATTCTGAATGAGATGAGCAGCAAACTAAATGCCAAGGAGAATTAGTTACAATATGAATAAACCAAAGAAATGCTGACTGTGTCTTTCAGTTCTATAGCTCTCCAAGCTTCGCACTATGCCTGTCTCCAGGAATGTGCAGTTCTGAATAACTTCCAACAAAGTCATCAGGAATGACCTTGCTGCCCAGGGCTGCCAGCAGCAGCCATGTCCAGCTGAACTTGAAACTGTCACCAGAGACAGAACTGGCACTGGATTCCTCAGCACCCAGAGAGGAGATTAAAAAAAATATAGGCCACGTTAGGGGCATGCTAGTTGGCTTCTGCAAGCCAAGTCACTTACCTCCAACATCCGTGAGCGCCGGATAGTGATGTGCGTGACGTGAGGTGATGCAGAGCTGGTCTCAACAAGCCCAAGCTTCTCCTTCTCCTTTGTAACCATGTTTCGGAAAAGCAGCACCCTCTTAAAAATAAAAATGGTTTTTAAGTCTTCATCCACACTGAGCCCCATCCTCTAGCACAGCAAGGCTTTCGGAGGCTCCTCACGCATGCCCAAACCAGCTATTGGTTGTCCTGTTCCCAGGCAGACACTGACACCACTATTACCTAGTCACTAGAAGTAGTGGGATGTGCCTCCTTGTTCCCCACTTATGCAGAGAAACCCCTGAAGAAGCCCTGCTCTGGAAGGGACAGGGTACTCCACAGCACTGAATTTTTGAAACATCAAAAATTCCATAGGAACTTAAGGAAAAATTTCTTAACAGTGAGGGTGACAGAGCACTGGAACAGGCTGCCCAGAGAGGTTGTGGAGTCTCCTTCTCTGGAGATCTTCAAAACCCGCTTGGATGCAGCCCTGTGCCACGTGCTCTAGGTGTCCCTGCGTATGCAGGGGGGTTGGACTAGATGATCTCTAGAGGTCCCTTCCAACCCTAAGCATTCTATGATTCTACGATTCTATGAAAGGCAACAGCCCCTCTCCTGTCACCATATAAGAAAGCATCACCTCTGCAGACTTACTAAACCACCAGCTTTCTGCACATAGAGCCTTTCCGAGGTCACATCAGACACTGCTGGCTGAGTTTGAGCTGTCCCAACACAAACAAGCTCTCTCCCAATGCAAGAAAGCAGGACAGTTTAGAGGAGACGTGCGAAAGGATAAAAAAAGAAAAAGCACAAAAAGCAAAGCACAGACCCTTGCCTAACTGGCATTTTGTCATGAGCTCCAACACTGAACACATCCCCTTCTATGCCAGGACTGGCTTTTAACCACCACCTGTGCCCCTGTCCCACTCACGTTCTTGTGGGGGATGACATGAGGGATGTACTGCAGGAGCAGCTGGGCTCGCTTCTTGTCCTTGTCCAGCTCCTGGAAGAGCACGCTGGGTTTGAGGTCCCTTACAAAGAAAGGCACAAACTCAGAGATCCCCAAGAGACAGCCAAGTGTGCTAAACTGCCAGTGCCAGAGAGGGGAAACCTACAGTGCACCCGCAAATGACCTGAGCTTGGAGTGTACAGTGAGAAAACCAGAGACCCTCAGGCCATTAGGTGCCAAGCACTTTTCAGAGCATCACTGCTTGTGAGCAGCACCTAATTACAGCACAGAACAGAAGCAGAATAGGAGGGGGAGTCCTGAAAGGTAAACAGTGTAGGGAGCAGTTCTGGTCTTGATCTTATGGACGGAGGGAGAGACACCAATTTAAAGCAAGGGATCCCAAAAGAGCCACGTGAAAGGGAGCTGATGCAGCAGGACTAGCACGCGGGTGCAGGTGGCCCTGTCTTGGCTGGGGACACTTACTTGCGTAGCCAGTGGTCGTCGGGAGCGAAGCGCCTGCGGCAGTCCCGCTCGTACAGCACCATGAGCCAGCCGTGCACAGAGTGGAAGAGCTCCAGGGTCTCCCCTCGGGCGTTCTCTGAGCAGAGGGGACAGAGCAGCAGCGTCCAGGACGCTTCAAACAGGAGGGCCCAAAGCAGCACGCTATTTGTCAGCCTAACACTAACAGCAAAGCCGTGTTTGTCCTGAGCTGCACTGGCTTCAGAGGGAAGGAAGAGATTATGCATCCCCCAGAAAACATGAAGCGAGAAACTCTTAGCCACATGAAGCCATCTCAGCCAGCTCCACCAGAAAGGGACTATTATCAGTCAGTTGTCAGAACTGCAGTGTGCTCAAATCATACCAACGTATAAATCCATAGGTCCCTTCTACCCTCAACCAGTCTGTGATGTACAGACCATAGGTCCATGGAGACTGCAGCAAGCCTGCTCTGCTTTCTCAGAGCTCTACAGCACATTCCTGTCCAATACATGGTCCAGTCATGCGAGACTTAAGCCTCTGGATGGCAAAACTAACATTCCCATCGTGTCTGGTACACAGATTCTCATTTGAAATAGAACAGTGCATTGTATTTAGTGCCAAACATGATAGCAGTATCTGGACACCAAAACACTGGAACATATTTCTAAGCCACACACAATGCATTATGTTTTTGTGCAAAGTATTAACTACCAGAAGCTTCAAATTCCAAAATTAATGCCATTTATTGTTCAATCACATCCTCAAATCAAGCTACTAAAAGCACTTACCCACAATTCCATCCCAGATCATCTTAAATACAAAAGAATTCAGAAAAGATGAGATGGTAACAAGCTCTTCCAGTTTGAATGAAATCTGCTCTTCATAGACTTCTATGTCATCAAGAATCCTATCAAATGAAGCAAACCCAAAATATGCAAATGCCAATTTAATTCCCTTTTGAAAATATCATAAGGGCACATTATCCTTCAGCAGCAGCTCTTATTTCAGTGATGACTGACAATCGTAAAGAACGAGAATAATAAAAAACCTAAACCTTACTTGTTGGTTTTGATCAATATCTGATCCTAACAAAAGACAGTATGAAAGGTCTGCGATACGAGCGAAGCTGATACTTCATAGCAAAAAGGACCTGTGCACTAGTCCCCAGGGAAAGCTTTTTCATCAGCCAAGCTAAGAGAAACTCTCTCCCCTGACAGGCAAGGCCAATTCCCCCTGCCCTCTGTGCTCTGCAAGTCAATGAACATGAGTGCACAGGAAGCTGGGCACGTTCTGTGGCAGCTCCTGCGCTGCTGCTCCTCCAAGCCCATCGCGTTCAAAGCGTTTGCTCTGGACCGATGCAATCTCTGCCATAAGCAGGCGAAGAAATCTTCCTTCCCCCCTCCCTAGCCAGGGCTGCAACATTCGTTACTGGGCCAGGCAATTAGACACCCACTAAGCAGCAGCACAAGGCAGACGGGACAATCCTTTTCAGTCCCTTTCTGTTTCTTAGGATTTTATTAGGAAAGCCTTCCCTTTACTCTGCCTTGCCTAGCTATCTCTATGCAAAGGCAGTAATGCTTTAGCTATTCCTCTTGAAACCTAAGGAACACACAGGAGCTTCACATGTCAAATCTAAAGAGCAACCTCTGCCTTCTACCTACGTGATAAGGTGGCGGGAGCAGTCACAGAAGAGCATCAGCATGGCCAGCAGCCTCTTAGACTCCTCCGTGTCATTATTCAAGCACTCCAAGAAGAGCTTTAACCCTCCCTGTGGTCCCAGCTCGCAGATAAAAGCCCATAATTTGGGTAGCAGGTCATCCAGGTAAGTGAGGCCTAGTGACAGAACAACATAAAGCACAAACATTTGGGAACTGACAGATCCTTTGGCAAAGCAACCGTTTTCCAGAGGGAACACACACGCTTGCCTCCATTAACAGGAGTTGTACAGTCCTAAGGAAAACAAAAGAAAGCTTTTAATTGGGCAGTAATAGTGTGCGTATGTGCAGCTCCTTCCCATCAGTGATTCTGTAATTTTAAGAGAAAATTGAATTCTGTGACCTAATCATCATTACAGCCATCTGAAAATGCAATGAAGTGCACCCAGGACAGGGTTGTGCCCACGGTCAGCCCTACAAGGGGAAACAAAATGGCCAGAGCTGTGGACTCACTCCTCTATTCTAGCCACTGGAGCAAAGAGTGCTTATCTCCACCTCCATCCATTCTTAGACAGGTAATTTGTTCTTAAGATGTATGAAGGTGTTTGCACATAAAGATTAATATTGCTAGCCTTCTCAAAAACACTGACTCAGTCTTAAGGCTGATATGGAATAAGCAAGGTTTCATTATAGGAAAACTTGCTTCAATTCATATTCTGGAGAGTTAATGTTTGATAAAGAAATGATGGATGTTATTGATCAGATGTATGATTCAGGGTGGAACAAGCTTTCCACCCAGACAGTCAATAAAATGTTGTCAGTAATAAAACTACCAAAGTCAAGAGATTTTAATAGGAAAAATCAATTTTTTCCTCCCCATTTTGAGTTGGAAAGCGCACACGTGCCCTGACCTGTGAGGATCTGCAGGCGGATCTGCGTGAGCGTGGTGAGCGTGGTTTGGTACAGCACACAGATGCTGCACACTTTCTGCACCTCTGCCGAATCCACCCGCTTGCCCCCAACAGGCTTGAGGATGTTGCGGACGGACGCAGACTTCTGGAAAGCTCTCTTGAAAAGATCTGGTAAGAGAAGTGCACACAACGTTGGCCCGGGACACCAAAGCTCTATTCCAAAGCGTTTATCTCCCCCAACTGCTTGGCAGCCCTACGCAGGGATTTTAGCAAACAGGTCACCCCATGCACAGTAGATTTGCATGGATTTTTTATTTTTTTTGGCAGAATACTGTATAGCTGCTAGTAATGCAGAAGGTGGTTAGAAGGGAGCCAGTAATCTGGAGCTTAAAGTCCTAACAGAACAGCAGTAACTAACAGGCCCCATGATTTAGTCTTATGTGAAGTCACTGGAAAACGGTCAGATTACAGCTGTCTTAGTCCAGATACTTTTCTGCAGAACTGCAGGCAGACCCATAAACCAGCTTCACCCTGCTTCCACCTGGGAGGCTGACCTCCCCATTTTGCATCAGAAACAAGAAACCATGCAGTAAGCAATGCAGCTACTTGGGAAAGAATAGGAAAAACAAACAAACAAACATTAAAATAAGTAAATATTTTCACGGCATCAGAGAGGCTTGCCCAGATCACAGAGGCAGTTTGAACAGGAATTACAAATAGCAGAGACCATATCCCTAAGCAGTAGCAGCCGCTGCAAGAAATGACCCAAAGCTTTCAGACCCGTGGAAGAGTCAAAATGTTGTGAGACAGACACGCGTGCACATGTGCACACACATTCACACCCACACAAGCAGCCCTCCCGAACTGACTCTTCACGGGAAGGCTGTTCTGCGGGGAAACGGGCTGTGCTGGCAGCTGAGCCGCTTCCTGACTCTCCAGCAACTTCTTGCTGAGCACATCACTGAAGAGGATGCGGATCATATGGACTCCCCAGAGATGCTGCAGTTGTTTGGTCAGCAGGGGCATGGATTCATTCAATCTAAAAGACAGGTTGGAGAGCCAGGTTAGATGGGAGGCTGGAATAAAACACTGGACAGTGGCATTTGGACACATTTAGTCAAAGCGCCCACCCTGGAGTTGGTCTTCAAAGGAAGAGCTGATGTACAGATCCTATACTGCTTGTGTCAGTATTGAACAGTGGTTCAAGCAGTCTAACCACACTTTACTGAATTTCCTCCTGTAATAGTCTATGAATGGATGTAGCAATTTAAACAGTGTCTGCTGTATATATGTAACCTGAAGTGCCTACGAGGTTCTTCTGCAAAGGGTCACCCTGCTCCCCTCATAAGACATGAAACACACTGCAGTTTAAAGAAAAATATATATGTATATACACAGAGAGAGAAAGAAAGAGAGGAGGGGAAACAGATGGGGGTGAGGAGAGAAGGAGGAAGGGAGAGACTTAAAGCTCATCTATCACCACTTACCCATAATCTACAGTCTGGGAAAACCAGCCCAGAACAGGATGCCAGTGAGTGAGGTTGGATTTCTTTTGTGAAACATATTTCTGGCAGTAGGAGAGCATGTGAATGAGCACACCAACAAAATGAGTCGTCTCCTCCTCAAGAACTTTATCGTTCAAGGAGCCCAAGTACACGAGGTTACCTGGAGGAACAACCAGCACAGAAAGGCTTGGGGGAACAGATGCTGCAGCTCAGTAAGTGGAGACAACAAGGGCTTGGGGTTCATTTGACTTCCTTTCAAATCTGCAGAAGGGTTACTGGCAATAATGACTGTTGGAGGCTACCCCACAGCAGCCCATTTCCGGCACACACCAACCACCAAGGAGATGTGTCACTTTGGTGCCCTCCTGCAGCTTTCTCAGCCTCATCTCATCTCATCCAAGCTATATAAAAATCAATGGTTATTTATTTCCCATGCTCCATGTGTTCCTCTTGTTTCTTGATTGTAAATATGTTAGCAGCACATCTATCTAGGCAGGTTAGGTTCAGGTCTGCCACGCTGCAAGACTCACCTGGAGCCCAAGGGAAAGGCTAGGAGAGAGAACGCTCACAGGTGGACACAACACGTCTACGAGAACAGGTCAGAGACCTTGCTGCCATTTACAAGTACCTTCTTAATTGCTTAATGCTAAATCATACTTGCAGTATCCTAAAACAAACCTCATTTGTTATTTTAGAGAGCAACTAAGCCAGGATAAAAACAAGGAAACAGTGGACTGGAGGCAACATGGACCATGAAGAAGGAAGGCTGAACTCAAGGCTCTCCTCCAAGGCCAGTAAGAAAGAAGCCCACAGGTGCTTACCCAACAAGCAGAGCGTGTGGCTGCCCTCCAGGCACACACAGACATCTCGGCAATTGGCCTCGCGACTTAAAAACAAGATGAACTTGCGGAAAAGTTTGTGAGATTCTATCACTGCCAGACGCTGAAAGACAGAATTTAACAAACAGCAAGTGAAATTGAGGTGCTTCACAGAAAATAACGCACCTGGGCTGCCACTAGCGATTCGGATTGCCCGTTCTTTCCAAACAAAGCAGCAACTTGTAACTGTTACACTGAAGAGAGCAAGACTTTGATGTGAAGCTGTCCTATAAAATAGATTTCTAATATCACAGGCAAGGGGGAGTCCATGCTAACCAAAAGCAGCTCTTGGAGGTGAATATGCCATGTTCTAGTGGTAGACAAACCTTCAGCTGTCAGCCTACAAAAATGGGCACATTTTGCACAGAGCTCCCCTCTGCCTGCACTGAGCTATGCAGAGGAGCAGAGACACTAAATTAGATTAACCTGCTATTTACAGCCACGATCCTTTTCCATACGACAGACTGGCTTCTGCTTTGGCTGCCCTGTGATAACAGAGAGGGAAGCATAAAGGCATGCAGAAATTCCAGCTGAGTGACTGTAAGACTTAAGGATGGGCACACTGGAAGTAACAGCTGAAACGACAGTTCGGGTCTAAAACAGAAACTGCAGCTTTCTCTGGACACACTCACTGTAGAAGCATCCACGTTAAAGTTTCCATAACAATATCCCACTTTTATGTCTGTCCACCCAGTCCTGCTAGTATTGGCTTGTTATAGTATCATCATATCTCCTCAAGCAGAAAGCACATCTGGGACTTCAGTTACACTGCAAAGAGCATCACCCACACTTTATAGTGGGGGAAACTGAAAAGTGCAGTAAATGACTCTCCCCAAGCCTCAGAGAGCAGCCTGTGGAAAAAGGGAAGAATCCTGACTTTCAAAATTAACACAAAGTCAAAAGAGCAGGCCCTCCTCACTATGCTAAGACAGCTGAAGGACATATCCAATGCTGGAAATACCTTTTTAATGTTGTTATCAGCATGGGCTGTTTGGCCTATCAGCCCTGTGGAGTTCATAATTTCTGCAGTATTAGAAAGGATGTTGTTATCAGCATGGGCTGTTTGGCTTATCAGAAAGCTAGACAATACTGAGGGGAGAAGGATCAAACATTTCCAAAGGAGAAAGCTGAAACTGAAAATTACAGATACATTAATGCTCTATTTTAAGAGTTGATAAAATGGAATAAGGAGTGGCCTTATGTGATATTCAATGGACTTTTGGTACTGTTACATCATGCACTTACCTCAGGCGTTAGAGTAGCAAGATGAGTCATGATAGCAGGCACAGACATGATGTGTATCAGAAAGGATCTCAACAGATTGTCTGAAAACTGTGCAGCAACCACAGGGCTACGGGGAGAAAAATACTTCAGTGCAAGGAGTCTGCCCTAGCAGTGTATGAGAGTCACTCTAACTGAGTTATTCTGGACTGGCCAATGATTCTATCCCCATGAAGAAGAGCTGTTGGAGAAAAACTTTCCTAACGCTTCTGCTATCATCACAAGTTCATAAAAAATGAATTGTGACTCAAGGGAATGTAAGCCAGAGCTCAGAGCACATTACTCTTGCAAGAGCATCCATCCTACCCAGAGCACCTTAAACGTTATCCAGTTATCTCTGAAGCTTCCCCTTTCCCCCTTGTCATCAAGCCAGTAATTAAGCAGCCATTTTCATTAGGCAGAAGTTCAGTGACTTATTCAAGGACACCCATTGTTGTGTCACTGAGCAGCACATAGCCATGATCCCAGCAGTGACAGCTATGGAAGGAACGTCACAGGGAATTAACCACGGCAGTCTTAAAGAAATCTCATTACTGGCTGCACATTTCTAAAATGAAGACACACGAGCCATGCAGCAACGAGGCCAGAGTAACAGTTTGCTTGTTTTTTTGTTGCTCTTTTTCCTTGGTTTTGTTTTGTTTTTCTCCTTGCACCCCACCCCAGGCAGCTCTGACTGTCTTACCGCAACGCAAGAGAGAAGATGGCAGTTAAAGAGCCTTTGGACAAGGATGGTCTGGATCTTGCCAAGCCATTAGTTAGCAAAATCTGGAAAACAAAAGGAACAACAAAAAGACTGCAGAGCTCAGAAAAAAGGTTTATGACTACTCATGAAGAACTTTGTGCTCATTTTCAGAGCCAAGAAAACAACCAACCAGTAAACAACAAAGAAACAGTAGCTACAAGTCATTTGGCAGCACTAGAAGGTCTTTGTGTTAATAGCAGCAGAACAGAAACCACATTAAAAAAAAGCACAAATCACTGGTGCTCCACATACACCTCCTGCCTGACACGTGCCCCTAGAAATCATAAAAATTTCCTCAGAACAGCAGCAGCAGCACAGGATTGGTGAGTTTGTTTTGAATAAACAGAAGCACTAACTGCATCAGGCACAGACTGACCTGCAGCACAGAGTAAAATCCCTTCTGATTGAGGTGTCCCATGATGTTTGCACAGATGTGGTTCATGGCAGGCCTCAGCGTTTCTCCTTCAAGGATAAAACAGCGATGTTACCAAAACCATATCACAGCAAGTTCCAGCAGAACAGATCATTTAAGCTATAAGAGTCGTATTTCTTCACTACACATACCTAACTCTTCTACGTGCATTTCCCACAAAAGCCTCAGAGCTAAAGCCACATTACTCTGAACACTCTGGTGTGGGTGACTTTGGGGAGCTACGAGAACATGGAGCTGCTGCTGTTCTACCTTCCCTAATGCCAAGGGGCTCCCCACTGCCTGTTCTGGGCTTTGGGCACACACAGAAGCATCAGAAATCTTTGGGGAAAGTATGGGGAGAAGGCAGGGTGCAGAAAAAGCACTCAGCAAGTTTTAAAAGCAAGTCCCAAAGCAGCGACTAAAACCTAATGAATTACTGAAGTGACATATTGAATAACACACCTTTTCCCCGAAGGATTTTCCATGTTGATGTGTCCGTGAAGGTGACGAGCATGGTGAGGTGCAGATTGACTAGTTTGGAGTCCTGTAAGATGTCAGGCTGCAGCAACAAACATCAGTGTTAATAAATGAAGCTAGTTCTGTGCCAAGCTACAGAACTATTAGATGCAGGGAAACAAAACACAGTGAAGTTTATTTATTTTTACCTTAAGTTGCTTGAGAAATTCACAACAAAACCACAAAACGTCTTTGATCTGCTTGATCCACAAGAGCGTGAGATCCTTGGAGAGCGCCAGCGACACATACCACACCTGAGGACGGCAGGGAAGAGCTGTGAGCTGTGATAGGTGTTTGTGCTACCAGCAAAATAAATTACCAGAAGCCTTGCAACAAAATGAGCTCAGAGCACTGCTCGTCACAGCAGTGGAGACAAGTTATTGCTCTCCCCAGAACTGACTTGGTCAAAGCACACAAACTATCTTTTATAGCTATACACAGACTAAAAATTCCAGGTGGATACTGAGGAGCCTGCCCAAGCTTCCACTCTAGACTCTCAGCAACACCTTGCGGCTTTCAGAAGCTAAATAATTCAAACGTCGCCAACCTAACATCTCACACGTACAGTGAAGGAAAAAAACACCCTACTGACCTTGGGCTCGTTCTCAACATCCATACTGTTGAGAATACAACGGCACAGCTTTTCAAACCTCTGCAAGAAAAAGAAGACTCCCATCAGCTCTAGTTCCATTAGGAGTTACTTGGGAAAAGTACTGGAAAGAGCGCAGGGGAGAGCACAAGAAGCAAAGTACAGAGCACACAAGAACAAAGCTCCAAGCACACGTTCCCCACGCCCTGTGCCAGCAGCTCCTCCATCCCACGCTACCGCTGTGCAGCGGAGCTCTGGACACGGCCCTCAGCAGCAGCAGGAACTTCCCAGCCTTCCAGCTAACCTGCCTCCCTCGGCAGCACGGCCTGAGGCCACGAAAAGCTCCTCTCCTGCTGGAGTCTGGTCTTCCAGTTGACCACCGTGGCTCCCCGCGAGCTCAGGGCGCACACCCAGAGCTCCTTTAACTCCTGTTCCAGTCCAGTTGCATTAACCAAAAGCTCCCAAGCTGCAAAGCCCTTCTGGGTTACAGAACTTTACTGGTGTGTTCTCCTGACTGGGGAGAGGGTTCTACAGAAACAACAGTCCAGTCCTTGGCCCAGCCAGGGACTGACTTGGTGCTGGAACGGGGAGCAGAAGAGAAGCAGAACAGACAGATCTCAGTGATTCCCTTAGTTACTGCAATGCAGAACTTCAAATGGGGCCTAGGCACTTAAAAAAGCTGTATGCAATGCACACAGGTTTCTCACACAGTAAAAACAGAGAACAACACTTGTTATACCCAAACCTTCCTCAAAAGGAGACATTTGGAGATAGAGATTAAAAAAAAAGCCAACTAAATACTTTCCCTCTGCCAAACCAAGCACCAACTGCTCTTGCAATTTACATACAGACCTTCATTTTCCAGTTGTTTTACTTATAATTAGCCCTAATGTGTCCCTGGGGCAAATATCATCTTCTCACAGAGACAGACATACAGCAAAGAGCTCCACCTGACACCACAAAGTCAGGACACAGCTGGAAACACAGCTGTAGCATAGACAGCCCTCACACTCCTTTCCAGGAAGGAGTAGGAGACAGATCAAATTTCCCAAGCCAAAATGTATTGAAGGAGCCCACATGTCTACCAGTCAACAATTTAAACATATTTAAGATGTTAAAGTAATCCAAAGGAGGAAACCACTTCAGAGTGCCAATCTTACCTCTTTATCCTCTTTAAGGTTAAATACAAACAGCAGCTTCCTAGCAATCCTGAAGACAGAAAGAGCATTTCTTCTACTCGAGCCAGGCTCATTCGCCTCGAAGAATTCCTCGACTTCTCTCCTAGGAAAGGGAGGAGAACGACGGCAGGCAGTGACAAGCCCAGCCCCTCTCCGCAGAGGGCAGGGGGCCGGGGTGACGCTGCACCCACCGGACGCGGCGCCGCAGGCGGCGGCGGCA